GTTCCAGCCCCATCACGGCCCTTGGGGAGCCCCGAGTCCTCAGGCCCACTTCTCCCCGCGGCCCCACGACGGCCTGCCCGCCGCCGTCTACAGCAACCTGGGGGCCTACAGGCCCACTCGGCTGCAGCTGGAGCAGTTGGGCCTGGTGCCGAGGCTGACTCCCACCTGGAGGCCCTTCCTGCAGGCCTCCCCTCACTTCTGAAGGTCCCTTCCCCTGCTGCCCTCTCCAGGCCCAGGACTGGGCACTCCCTGGGGCCCAAAGACCCACCACAAGGCGAGTGGAGCCACTTCCCTTTGAAAAGACACAGTCATTGCCATGGTTCAATGTTCCCAGGCCCCAGGCCATCCACTTGCGGGCCCCCACCAGTCCTTGGGTTCCCTGCTGTAGTTTGACCTGTGCAGCACATTCCAGAAGGTTCCAGGGAGGTTGTGGGGCAGCTAGAGGACAAAATCATGAAAACAGAGCCCCTGTCTTCCAGAGATCATCCAGGGCTTTAATATTAATGGCCCCCTAAACTCTGTAAGAAGCATGAAATGCAGCCCAAGTTTTACAAATGGGTAATCCGAGGCACTGAGAAGTAGATGGTAGGTTGGTACTTCTAGTTCCCAGTGCCTAGGAATGGTCCACTCCCAAGAGATTCAGGAAAGACAGAGGAGAAGCTGTGGGAACGTTCTGGATGTTTCGGGAAAGTTGGGCAAACTCCTCCTCCTAGGAAAGGCTAATACTAGGGTATCCCTGGGCCTGATGAGTTAGGGGTGAGGCCCCGGAACCCGTATCTGTGAGTTGTATGAGGGGCCATCTGAAGCTGTAGCCACCAGGGATGGAGCTAGCTGAGGAGTCTGGGGGGTCGGGTGGGACAAGACAGTTTAGTAGACTCAGATTCTTGCTTCAAAGAGCCTTGGGCTGGCCTGGAGGTCCCTGGAGTCTAGGCTGGACCTAGGAGCTTGAGTTGTCAGGGGCCAGGACTGGCCCCACCGCAGTGCCCAGGCCAGTCTTGAGCAGCAGGGAGGGCTCAGCTGTCCCCAGATCCAGGTGCCTCTGACCAGCCTGGTCACCTCCTGAGGAATAAATGCTGAACCTCACAAACCCCATCATTCATTCCTTCTCAATTCACAGTGCCCATCTTTGTTCCTGCAGTGGTACTAGGTCCTAAGGGCACAGCCTAGCTGAGTGTAAATAAATATAGGATGCTTAGAAAGCATAAAGGAGGGGCCAGGCATGGTGGCTCATGCCTGTAATCCCAGAACTTTGAGAGGCCAAGATGGGTGGATTACCTGAGGTCAGGTGGATTACCTGGTCTCAAGACCAGCCTGAACCAATATGGTGATACCCCATCTCTACTAAAAATACAAAAATTAGCTGGGCATAGTGGCATGCGCCTGTAGTCCCCCCTACTCAGGAGGCTGAGACAGGAGAATTGCTTGAACCCAGGAAGTGGAGGTTGCAGTGAGCTGAGATTGTGCCACTGCACTCCAGCCTGGGCAACAAAGCATGACTCCATCACAGGGGGGAAAAAAAGAGAGAGAGAGAGAGCATAGAGGAGGGGTGGCCAGCCCTGTGGTGGGTGGGACATCAGGGACACTTCCTAGAGAAAGTAACAGTTAACACTGTACCTCAGGTGTGATAGTGGGGTCAGTGGTATGTGATCCAGGCTGGGCAGCCAGAGGGAAGCAGGTGCCAACTCCACATCTTTCTCCTCTTTCTAGGCCCTCTCCTCCTTTGTCAGTTTTCGGCTGGGAAGCTCGGCCTTCGCTGTGGAGGGCCGAGAGCACAGCACTCTTCCTCCTGGTGGCCTCTGACCCCTGATGGCTTGTGGCATCCTCCCCAGTCCCCTCTGCCCATCCATCCCTCTGTTCCAATTCTCCACTGCTCCCAGCATGGTCAGGGGCATCTTGGCTTCCAGTTTCTTTTATTATTATTATTATTAATTATTGTATTCCTGTCCTTCACTTTTCTTCTCCTTAGTTCCTGAAAGTAAACAAAACAACAAAAACAAAACAACAACGCTTTGGTTCCTGGTGGCTTTCTCAACCCCAGCCCTGACCCTGTGGTTTCACAGCTGGCGGCTGAGATGAGGTTAGAATGGCCGGGCCCGGCTGAGCATTCCAAACTGGATTTCACCATCTGCTGAGAAAGTTTCAGCAAGGCAAAACTTGCCAGGTCGTAGAAGTCCCCAAGCCCAGCTTTCCAAAGGCCTCAGCCTGTGCCTGTGTCCTGGGAGATAGGGGAGAACCCACAGACAGGAACAAGCCCCCCTACTCCTGACCACCCTCCATCAGCAGTCTCCCCTCCGTGGTCGTCTTTGTTGACAAAGATGCAGTTTCTCCTCTTCTGGGCACCTGTAACGTGTGATGTGCTGCCTGCTGGGAGGTTAGGTCGCGGCTGCCCCGGCGAGTGGAGCATGAGCAGAACGGCTGAGGGTCACTTCCAGGCAGAAGCTTTGAGAGCCTGGGCACAGGTTGCCACACAGAAGCAGCTCTCCAGTTGAAGCCCTCCTCTGCCAGCCTGGGGTCCTAAGCGATGAGCAGAATCCCCACTCCCACCCACCAACCCGCAATGGATATGTAGTGAGCAAGAAATAAACCTTTGTTGTTCAAGCCGCTGCGATCTGGGGGTTGTTTCTTCCTGCACCATGATCTAGCTTTGCCCGAGTGATACAGCCTCTGAGATCCCCCAACTCCAGGCTGGGCCATTGCTCTGGATTCCCGAGACCCCCCCACCACACACACTGTTTCCACCAGAGGATTAGGGGTGGTTTTACACACCTGGCAATTGTGCATCTGAAAGCCAGAGCAAGTCTTTATCCAACTTTCAAATCCTACAAAACCAGGTCACGTTCCATCGTTAATTCTGCTCTGGGTTATAATCACACCTGTACCTCCCTCGCTGGGGCCTGCTTGCTAGAGTGTCACTCTGTGTCTTTAAACATATGGAGTCTCTACTACAGTGTGAATTTCAACTACAGTGTGAATTTCAACAGCCGCAGCTTAGCATCTCCACGTGCCAGGCACCATGTCAGCTCCAGGACGCGCATCTATCAGCCTCAAAGAACTCCCAGGGCACAGAGAGGACTGGGAGGGACCTGCATGTGAACAGCCACCATGAAGAACATGAGAGAATGAAAGAAATACTATGATCTTATTGTCCTAGGGTACCTCACCTAGGGTCAAACGCATCCCCCAAACCAGGGACTTAGGATCACAGGACCTATCTACAGGACTGTCAGCCAGCACGGACTGAGGTGTGAGCTGCTAATGATCAACCCTGCTCCTCAGAGCCCCTCTCTCCTAGGAACGATCTGTTACCTGCACTTGGTCCTCATCAGATCCTGCTCTCCTGTCTCTCCATCTACATCATAGGAGCCCAGAGACCAAAGGTATCTCTCTGGACCCACAGGATGCCACAACGGTGCCACAGACAGTCCAAGGGCACAGTCAGTCCTCCCTGGTTGAACACTGGTGAGGAGCTTTGCTCCCACAGGGGAGATGAATACTCAGATACCCCGAGACCACCTTCACTCTCTGCCCCTCCAGAATGCAGGGAAGGAAGGGCTGTCCTGCCTTCACTTAGTCTTCCTGCTGGCCCTGCTGGCCTGTCATGAAATGCCAAAGCAGCTTCTTCAAATATTTCACTTTTTCTTTTCTTTCTTTCTTTTTTACCGAGACAGTGTTGCTCTGTCGCCTAGGCTGGAGTGGCATGATCTCAGCTCACTGCAACCACCGCCTACCGGGTTCAAGCGATTCTCCTGCCTAAGCCTCCCAAGTAGCTGGGATTACAGGCACCCGCCGCCACATCGACTAATTTTTGTATTTTTTGTAGAGACAGGGTTTTGCCGTGTTGGCCAGGCTGGTCTCAAACTCCCGACCTCAGGTGATCCACCCACCTCAGCCTCCCAAGGTGCTGGAGTTACAGGCGTGAGCCACCACGTCCGGCCCAAATATTTCACTTTCTGAAGTTGATCCAAGAAGCCGGTGGACACAAAGAAACTGTCACTCACTTTCCTAGCTTCCTCCTGAAGATTGTCTGTGTGTTGGAACAACTGTTATTAGAGAACGTAAATATCGCAGACACACGTGCAAACTTGCTGTTATTCACTATATTTCGTTGACCCAGGCATTGCTTCCTAGGGCGCTCCATCCTTCTTTCCTCTGTAGTGTGTGGTGAAGGAGAACATGAAACCATGATGCAGCACACGGAGCGGACGGAGAGGCCCCAGCAGACGTTGGCGGCGGCACGCAGGGGAGGCTGAAGTCCACCATAGCTATGCTTGCCAAGGCCCCCTTCGCCTACTGTCCACTCCCTGAGTCAGGCAAGGATGCCCTTCACAAAATCACGCGAAGACACTTTCTAGGCTAGTGGCCTTGACTTGAGAACCGAGATTTCCAGATTCTCCCACTGACATGGTGGTGAGTGAAGAATCGCCAAGCTCGTTGAGCCCTATCTTACCAGTCTCCCTGGAAAAATACAAGCAGGACTTTCCCTTGATTTTCAGGAACGTGGAGGAATAAGAAATGCAAACCCTGGAGGTAAGGAAGATGCCACCGACAAAGCACGCAAAGCAGCCCAGAGAAAAGGGAAGAGTAAGAAAATCCTCCAAGGAGTAAGAAAATTCCAACAGGGCTTTCCCTGTTTGTGTTTGGAAGGGCGGTGGGTTCCTAGGGCTGCTGGGACATAAACACCACACAATGCGCAGCTTCAACAACAGAAATGTATTCTCTCACAGTTCTGGAGGCTGGAAGTCCAAGACCAAGGCTAGATTCCTCTGTGGTCGCTCTCCTTGGCTCACAGCCTTTCTCCTTTCTTTTGCTGCCCCTTCACGTGGCCATCACTCTGTGTGCCTGTGCCCCAGGGGTCTCCCTGTGTCTCCAATTTCCTCTTCTTATAAGAACACCAGTCAATTGGATTAAGAGTTTAAGGAGCTGTGCACAGATGCCAGGTAGACCTACGACTTGGTTATGGAGTGTCCAGATATTTGGACAAACATTCTTCTAGATATTTCTGCGAGGGTGTTTCTGGATGATACTAACACCTGACTTTGTAGATGGAGTAAAACAGATTATCCTTCCTAATCTGGACGGGACTCATGCAGTGGTTTCCCTGCTGAATATCCTATTCCAAATCCTGGATTTGCAATTAAAAAAGGGGTATAGAGTCCTGGAGGTCTGGGCTTGGGGAGGCCGGCCTTGGGTTCCACTTCAAAGGGACCTGCATTCGTGCATTTCATCACAGTTGTGGCCTACAACGTGCCAGGGGGAAGAGACTAGTGCTGGCACTCAGCTCACATGAAGGTGTCCGGAGCCTCACTGCCTCTGGCATTTGCACTGTCCTGATCTGTGGTTTGTTGGACTGACAGAGAATGATATGGAGCAGCGACAGGGGCCAGGGAAGGTCTGTATGAGGGGAGACATCAGTGCTGAGACCTGGAAGGGAGAAGGAGCCAGCCACACAAAAGGTGGGCAAGGCATGCCAGCCAGAGGGCAGAGCCTTGGGGAAGAGCTTGGCTCTGTTCAACATGGAAAGGGAGCTGCCAAGCGTGATGCCCTTTCCAGCAGTATGGATCCCCAAGGTGCCTCTTCTTGAGTTCACCTCCACCCTCCAGGTGAGCACTTATACCTGGGGCTCTCCCAGAAAACACATATTGCTTGAAGCTTAAAGGTAGTTTAACATTTAGAAAGTAAAATCAGATTTGCCATTTAAAGCACAGCCCAATACTAGCCATTCCCGTTCACAAGTTTTCCGCCTGACTACAGCCAAGCTGCTCACCAGGGCATCAACGGGGCCTCGTGATTCAGCGCTGGCTCACCTGCCAGCCCCATTCCCTGCCACCTCCCTTCCTGCCACTCACCTGGCCCGCCAACCTCCACTTCCTCTCTGCCTTTGCTCTCCTTATCCCTCAGCTGAGGACTCCGACACGGTACCTCTCAGTCTCCACCGAGCCTGCTGCAAACCTTCCCCTCTCCTGAGATCTAACTCAGATGTTACCTCCTTCCTGAAGCTTCTTTGAGAGCCCTAGCCCTTGTCTGCATGCTGCACTATCCAGGCCTCCCTCCCTCCTACCCCCTCTTAAGTTCCACTTCTGGCCGGGCGTGGTGGCTCACGCCTACAATCCTAGCATTTTTGGGAGGCGGAGGCAGGCGGATCACCTGAGGTCAGGAGTTCGAGACCAGCCTGGCCAACATGGTGAAACCCCATCTCTACTAAAAATACAAAAATTAGCCCGGCGTGGTGGTGGGCGCCTGTAATCCCAGCTACTTGGGAGTCTGAGGTAGGAGAATTGCTTGAACCTGGGAGACAGAGGTTGCAGTGAGCCGAGACCACACCATTGCACTCCAGCCTGGGCAACA